CACACTAAACTTCTCCATTTGCAAAGATCTAATGAGTGGCGGCCTTGGTCTGGTCGGGAAGAGGGCAGTCGTGGTGGGCCTCGCCAACAAGCACTCGCTCGCGTTCGCGATTGCGTCGGTGCTGCAGTCGCATGGCTGCCAAGTTGGAGTCGTATCGGCGCCCGTTTCCTTTGAGCGTGCGGCGAAAGCCATCTCGCTCCTGCCTGAGCCGCCGTCGTTCCACGTCGCTTGCGACGTCGCGCAGCCAGACGACATGGCACGCCTCAGCGACCTAGCACCGATGGATTGTGTCGTCCACTCGGTCGCCTACGCGTCCCCCGATGCGCTTACCAAGCCGTTTGCGACCACGACGCCCGACGCCTTTCTGCAGGCGATGCTCATCAGCAGTCACTCCCTCGTGGGTCTTGTGCAGAACCTGAGCCTGAACCCCGGCGCCAGCATCGTTGCGCTCTCGTACCTTGGCGCTGTGAAAGCGATTCCCAACTATAACGTCATGGGCCCGGCCAAGGCGGCGCTCGAAGCCACGTGTCGAGCACTCGCGCTGGAGCTTGGGCCCCGCAACATACGTGTCAACGCTGTGAGCGCGGGCCCGGTAAACACGCTTTCGGCGCGCGGCATTCCCGGCATCTCTAAGATGCGTCAATACGTCGTTGATGCTGCACCGCTGCAGCGCAACATCACGCCGGAAGAAGTGGCCAACGCCACGGCTTTTCTCTGCTCCCCGCTTGCCAGCGGTATGACAGGGCAAACCATCTACGGTACGAACATGGTACAACATGTAGTGTGATGTTATGGTGTTTGATGTCTAGTTGACGGTGGCATGAGCTCGATTGCGATGGTGGCCCCAAAATTGGACACATAGACGCCCGCATCAGAGCAAAAATAGTGTGGAATAAAACGAGGTTGCACTGCTTGCTATTGCTTGCTGGTATCGGATAAGCAACCTGGTTACTTGTCTATTTGTGTTCCTCTTCATCGCAAACTATATAGCCCAGCAACGAAAGCCAGCCGCGATATGTCGCCAAGGCGCTGGGTATTCCTGCAGGCGGACGAAAATAGCCGAGACCCAGCCGATGGTAGCTCCGACGGTACCAGTTGACCAGCTGCCAGTTGACTATCCCGCACCGAGTCCCATACGCACAACCAATCAGAGCTCGTCGTGCCGTGCCATCATAATTACAAGGACAAAGCCTATGGATCAAACACCACTGCTGCGTGTGTCCGGCGCTGCCCGCCACTGCGCGGTTGCCAATCAGCTGGAGTGTCAGGATGATGCATTCTGCACGCCCGACCTAGAGCCCGTGTACGAACAGCATGCCCCATCTAGCAACATCGTTCACCCGGCCGATGGCGATCCCGGAGCTGCAGCCGACACACGCGACACCAAGACGCTCCTTCAGTCGATCCTCGACAGCGTCGTCACCGAA